AACATTCAGTCCCTATCTGCAGGAATCAGTGACCACATATTAATTTCCACAAAATAAAAATGCAAGTTTGCTCACTCCTCCTGCCCTCCTCCCCTGCTTCCTCCTCTTTCTCCTTGGAGCATCATGAAAATCCTAAACCTTGTGCAGAGAAACGATTTCTTCTTGAGTGCATGATTGTTGCGTTTACATACACACTTCTTTCCATAGATAAGCCCTTTCATAGACGATCTCATAATAACAGGGTCTGTCTAATGCCCAGTATTTGGATCATGACTCTGACAATAGGGCTAGATAAGAGTAGGAGAGGGTTGGGCAAATCAATCTTCAGTGTGAGCCCCACAAAGGAGGGTGTTTCCTTATTGATTGGACAGAGAGCTGAGAATTATCCTAAGGCCTGTCAGATCTGCAATTAGAAAATTTATCTAGAAATCAACCATTCGGTCTTTTAAACGTCAAGTGGCATTGTACTTCAGCAAGCCACCTCATGAACAGTTTCTGCATCCCTGAGAACCTTTGGTCATCCTGCCTCATCTCCCCAGGTCCTGACTAGACACTCCAGGAACATCTACTTGAAGGATAAATGCTTCATTAAACAGTTGATTTTTAAATAAATTGCACAATATTTAAGTTAAACAATGATATATGGGAGGATCTTGAATATCTTTATAGTAAATAAATATGAGTTTGAGGTGATAGAAATGTCAGTTATCCCATTAGTTATGACACTCCTATACATAAGCCAAAGCTTCACATTTTGCCTTGCAAATACTCTCTGTCAATCAAGAACACTCAATTTTTAAAAATACATGAAATGAGGAGAAGAAGGCATTCAGTGAGGAAGGAGAACGGTCAGAGACTTTGGTGGGGTATGAAAATGGTCAAAGTACTTGATGTATGTGTGAGTGTATATGTAATTGTGAAAGAACAATTTTTTAAAAGAAAATGAATCAGTGAGGGTTTTTTCCCTCCAGCCCTCACTCTCAGACCCCTGCCTAGGGACCCACTGCTGTCCGTGATGCCCTTCCTAGACACCCTGCGGCATCTATAAATGCACACGGCACTCTACACTAATACATTTTTTTTATTTCAATGTAATACTCTATATTTCAGCTTGCTCTTGGCACATCATACTATGTCTTGCAAATTACCCCGTGACAGGGCATCATATCTGTAATTCTTCCAAAAATGACATAAAATTTTCCCTTATTTTCTCATTCTCCACCACTGATCACAGAGTGACACCTCAAAGAAGAGTAGCAGGATCGTAAAGCACACATAACTAAAACTTACCACATGCTACCAATTTCCCCTCCATAGAACCAATGACTTAATATCTACCAGAAATCCAAGTAAATGGCTTTTACCCACACCTACTAACAGCAATTTCTGTAAATAATCATTCTGTTTAATAAAAAGCATTTAATGAAAAACATTCCAATGAGTTTCTAGGATGAAAATACATGTGAAGGTTGATATTCATCAGTCTAGTGGGGTCACAGAGAGCCCAGTGTGTTTCTAAAAGAGATTAGGGTATGAATTGTTAGATGGTGTGATGGATAATCTTGGGTGTCAGTTTAGCTACATCTGGAATCAACTGAAACCCAAGCAGCTGTGCACATCTGTGAGGGATAGTCTTGACTGGATCATTCCAGCTGGGAAGACCCACCCTAAATCTGGACCACGTCTTCTGGTGACTGCCCACATAAAAGGACATGGAGAAGGGAGGCTTTTGCTTTTTGCCTGCTTGCCCTCACTCTCATTAGCAAGTTCATCTATCCTGCTGCTGAGTCATTCTTTCACTGATATTGAAACCTACTTCTTCAACATTCCAGCATAGACTGAAGACAGCAGCTCTCTAGGAATTCCCTGGGACTCCAACACCAGATTAGGACTGCTGAACCATCTAGGTTTGGGAGTTGAACAACTACCAGATTCTTGGAGTTTACATGGAGAGACAGCCATTGTTGGACTAGCCAAACCACAGCCTGTAAGCCACTATAATAAAGCCCCTTTTAAAATTGTGTGTGTGTGTGTGTGTGTGTGTGTGTGTGTGTGTGTGTTTGTGTGTGTGTGTGTGTGTGTGTGTTATCTATTCTGTTCCTTCAGAGACCCCTGGAGTAAAGCAGATTGTCCTGTCCCTCCCTCTGAACTGTATAATCTTATCTTCTCTTGGGCAAACACCAGTGCTTAGATTGTTTGTGGTCCTGGTTCAGGCCTTCAACTCAAATTGGCACTACCAGCTTTCCTGAGTGTCCAGCTTGCATACAGCAGACTATTGATTCTCAGCCTCAAAACATGTAAACTGATTCCTTATAAGAAATCACATGTATATACACATTTTATCACTATGTGTGTGTGTATATTATATGTATATATATATATGAAAGAGACAGAGACAGGCAGAGAGACAGAGAGGAACAGAACCAATGAGAGGTGTGTGTGTGTGTGTGTGTGTGTGTGTGTGTGTGTGTGTGTGTGTGTTCAATTGGCTCTGTTTCTCTGGAGAAACCTAGCTAATACTATATACAATTGATGTTAGTATATATGTTTATTGAACTTCAATGTTTCACTTTTGTATGAATTGTCTTTTCTGTTCCTTTCTCCATTTTTATTGGGTTATTAATATTCTTAAATATCTCAAATGTTTCTCTCTGAAAATCCTAGGTATTGCTCCTTTGCCTGGAACACATAGGAAGAAATATTTTTCCTGTGTTGTCACTTATACTTAACTCTGTTGGACTGCTTTCCACATATTGTTTATCTTAATGGAATCAAATTTACCATTGGCTCTTCTCCCGAAGAAACAGCGTGTCAGGTGCTGTTTGAAATCCATTAGATTCTCTACTGGAACCACACCAAATTTATACATGAACTCAGAGATGGGATATATATTTAAAATAGTGAGCTTTCCATGCAGGCAAATGGCATATATTTTATTTTCTTGCTATGTTTTTATGTCCTCAAAAATTTTTAATCACAAAAATATTTATGTGACTTTGTGAAATGCACAAAAAAGAAATGCATTATATCAATATAGTCAAGTGTGGGTTGAACACATTTGTTTTCTTGAGGAGGCTATGATTCTCATTTGCATTAGAAATAGACAAGATCTTCACATACAGAAAAACAAGTTACTCACCAGATTCACATTGCCCCAAATGACCTGTAGCTGCACTCTTCTTTACTCTTTCACAAAGTCCACAAGGCAACTAAAGCAAAGCCTCCTGTTCCTGTCATGTAAGGCCAATACATGGGGACATAGATACCTGGGACAAACATCACTTCAAATACAAGGCAGCGGGAAGAACCTTCTGCTTGCTTGCAGGGTTATTACATGTAGATTATATGTCTTTAGAAATTCAAAGTGATAAAAAAAATACTGCTATAGAAAATTTCTGGGTGAATTTTATGCATATAAATTTTTCTTTTAGTAAAGGAATTATTTTAGTCAATCAAGGTCTCAAAAATAGAGCCAGTGGCTTTGGACTAAATAATGTTTCTGTATGTGCTACTTTAAGTGGAATATTGGAATGCCAATTATCCTATAGAACACCAGACTACATAAAAGTGAAAAAAAATGTACTTTCAATGAAAATCTCCAACAGATTCTGTTTTGGAAAAAGTATATAAATAGTCAAACACCAAAACATAAATATGAATGAAAATAAAATATAATTATGAACAAGCAAAGCTGTACTGTAAAATATGCGTTGACATTAAATTTAAGGTGTTTGCTTAATTAAAAAACAAAAAGAAAGCAAAAATAGGAAAGATGTAAAGAATTCTTCTTCACCACTTCATAACAATTACAAAATTAACAATGCCTTAATCCCTGTAATAACAGTAAGAAAACTAGTAATTATTCTTCTGGTCCTGTAATTACATCCATCATCATGGATACAATTGCTGCAAATTGGGAAAGCTGACCCTGATGCCCAGGATGATATGATGGCATTTAATAGATAACAATGATGGTTGATAATGGCCTTTCAAGATCTCTAGCCCACCAGTTCGCTATTTTCTTGGGTGTTGAAGATTTCTGTTGCTACAAACGTGATGCTAAACTTTCTCTCCCTTTCCTTCTCTCCTCCAGGTCACTTTATCATCCTCAAACTGATGAGGTTTCCTCCCTTTCTCTATGATAAACATCCCAACTCTCCTCCACCATGAGTGCTGCTGGAGCTCGGCTTCCAAGTCCTGAATTCACTGACTCCATTTCCATGCTCACCACCCCTCTTCCCCATGCTCCCCTCTTTCTGCTCTCCTCTGACAGAGATTTGAGCAATCCCTTGTGTGTTTTTATCTCATTTCCATTTTATTTCACAGGTGTCAGCTCTCTTGGTAGTACTCTCTGCTAATAACACCTTTCAAGTCTTACTCGTGTGTGCTCATCAGCAGACATGACAATTATGAAATCACACTGTGATTTTCTACCCCAGTGATACTTTGAGAACACAGTCATTCCATGACAGTAGTTAAAAATCACTCTATCAGGAGGAACATGTCTTTAAAACTATGAGATGAGGAGAACACAACTGCCAATCGTATGGAAGACCCCTGCAAAGCTCCTCTGTTCTTCTCGGTAGTCTTTTCTTTTGGGGGCTTCCAGCACTTTGATTTGATAGGCTCAGGAGGAGAGCTCTAGTCTTAAGATTTTGCCACTTTTTTTTAAATAAATTATCTTTCAAGTACGCAATGGAAACATTCACAAAGACATTATAAAACACTAGATATGTGAGGACAGTGACAGCATGAAGTTCGCATAGAGGAAGCCCCGGACCATGTCTGCCACAGAAGCAATGACTTAACAACAGCATGAATACAAAAAGCCTTTAGTAAGACTTCAGACACCAACCAAGGCATCACACTGACCCAGGCAACCTCAAAGCCAAGAAGAGCTGCCCTGGAACAGATCATAAGAACGGCTTCATTTCACATGCAAGTGTCCTTGCTGCGTTCTACCCTACCTCAGCATAACCAAAAGCAAACAGATAACTTACAGCTTCGCCTTGAGAAGATGAAGAGAGGTGCGGAGTGTTCGTCCAACATCACGTCTTCTCAGAGAGTTGCAGAAGAAACTGGTTCTGACTCACACGACTTCAAACCCTGACAGAACAGCTCTGGGTGTCTGAAGGGCACTGAAAATGAAAAGGAGTTGAGTGCCTATTGTGATACCAGGGAACATGGAAACCTTTCTAAATGGGGAACTACATACCCCAAAACCATACACATACTACCAGAAAAGATACATACCCAGAAGAGATGTGTGTGGCATCCATAAGCCAGAGCTGGCCTTATTGGTGGCAGTTGGGACCTTAATGAAGCTGGTTGCTTCCACAAACTAAGTCTCTAGAAACCAATAAGACAGAAATAAAGATGAATTACCTGACAAATAATTTGAAATAATCATCATGAAGAGTCTCTGTGAGCTTCAACAGAACAAAGATAAAGTATGGAGATCTGTGTGAACAAAATGAGAACATCAACAAAGAGATAGACACTGCTTCTGAAAGCAAGCAGAAGTTCTGGGGGTGAAGAATGTAGTTACTGGACTGTAAAATTCATTAGAGTCCCAACAGCAGACCTGCCCACACAGAAGAAAGAACAGGCAAAGTTGAAGACAGCTCTTCAAATTCACAGAGCGAGACTAATAAAAAGAAAACAATAACGAAAAAAAGTGAAGATAGGCTAAAGTATCTATGGGAAAGCATCAAGTAAAACAAAATATGACGTAAGAAGAAGAGAGTGAAGAGAAGGCGAAGAGCTTAGAAATCATGGCTAAGTCAACATGCTCCCCACCCCACTCCCAGCTGCAGGGTTATTGATAGTTTGTGGCTTCTGCAGGGAGGGAAAGTCAGTTTCCTTTAAGGGTATAGGCCCTGGTGGGTCAACTGTGCTCTGGTGGATGGCCCCACACCCATGAGTACATGAGCAGCATAAACTGAGCTTTGTGAGGTATTAAAATAAAGGAGGATACGAAGTTGAGAAGGGGTAGGGGACCCAGGTTCAGTTCTCAGCCTCCACGTGGATGCTTTCAACGTCTATCTTGTTGTTTATAACTCCAGTTCCAAGGGACCTGATACTTTCTCTGGCTTCTGCTGACACCAGGCACACAAGTGGTGCACATACATACACATGGACAAAACACTCAAATACATAGAATAAAATAAATAAATATTTTTTTAAAAAAAATAAAAAATCAGGCTGGAGATATAGCTCAGTAGTTAAGAGCACTAGCTGCTCTTTCAGAAGACCAGGGTTCAATTCCTAGCACCCACATGGCAGTTCACAACTGTCTGTAACTCCACTTCCAGGGGAATCCAACACCCTTACACAGATGTAAATACAGGCAAAACACCAATGCACATAAAATTAAAGAAATAATTTTTTTAAAAATAAATAGATTTTTAAGAAAATTTTATTTAAGTATAAAGATAATATATCTGAAAATAAAATCATGAAAAAAGATGTTACATGCAAAAGATAAACCGAGAAGAAAAGTAATATTTATATGAGACTAATAGACTTCAAGTCAAAACTACCACTATAGGACAATAAAAGGGTAAATTTACCAGGAAGATATAAATAGTCTATGTGTGTCTAACATCAAAAGACCCAAATACGTGAAGCACACGTTGATGGAACTGAGGAAAGAAACAGCAGCATAGTAACAGCAGGCTTCATATCCCACTTCCAATAATGGAAAGATCAACCAAACCAAAGACAAGTAGTGCTTGGAAGACAGCTCAGTCAATAAAATGTTTCCCATGCAAATCGGGGGCTTACATTAGGATCCCAGCACACACACAGAAGCTCTGCGCATGTCCGTGTGTCTGTAACCCAACACAAGGAAAACAGAGACAGACGGATCTTTAGAGCTTACTGGTCAGTCTAGCCAACCTGTGACTGAGAGTTCAGTGAGAAACCATGTCTCAAAAGACAGGATGTAGAGTGACTGAGAAAGGCACTCTTGTTTTATCTATATTTTTCTCTCTTTTTACCATATAGGTCCTTTACATATATATTATGGCTTCCAGTTTAGTATTTTGATGGGATTCCTGGGTGTGCAAATGAGGAGATCTCTAGATCTCTGTTTCTTGTGTCTTCTCTTGGGTTCTTTTCCTTCTGTTTGTTTTGTCCAATTCCAATGTGTTAGTTTTTTGTTTATCTTATTTTATTTTAGTATTTTATCTTGCTATTGTCCCTTAGAAATTGTTGGTTATCTAATGAAATACAGAAAGGGTTGGAGAGTGGATCCAGATGGGAGGGGAGGTAGAGATGAACTGGGAGGAGTAGAGGGAGGGGCAACTGTAATCAGGATATATATGTGAGAAAAAAATCTATTTTCAACTTTTAAAACTCAAAAAAAAAAAAAGAAAGAAAAAGGCACTCGACATTACCTCAGTGCTCCACATGTATCTGCATGCAAGTATGCACATATACATATATACTCTACACATGCATAAACACACATGGGTCGGGGAGAAGTGAGTAATGAAAGAGATGCCTGGAATACTACTACTAGAAGTTGCTAAATCAATGTATAGTTTTGGGGGATGAAAGTTCTAGAGACCTGATGCAAAGCACCATGCACATAATTAACAGCAATATTCATATAAATTAGCACCTCTTTATCGTAGCAGGATTTCTTTTGGGCCACCAACCAGCTCCCAAATCGTTGATATGGAGACTTATTATTCATTATGAATGCTCAGCCTTATCTTATGCTTGTCCCACTAGCTCTTATAATTTGATTTAAACTATTTCTCTTCATCTACATTTGCTGCAGAGTTTTTTACCTTTCTTTCATCATGTATGTCCTACTTTTTCTGCTTCTTCCACATCTGGCTGGCTGGCAGCTGCCTGGCTGGCCCCAGGCATCTTCCTCTCTTTTTTCCTCATTCTCTCATTCTCTTTTGAGCCTAGATTCCTCCTCCTACTTATTCTCTCTTCCTGCCAATCCCACTTATCCCTCTACTGCCTAGCTATTGGCCATTCAGTTTTTTATTAGCCCAGTCAGGTGCCTTAGGCAGGCAAAGCAACACATCTTCACATCATTAAACAAATGCAGCATAAACAAATGTAACACATCTTTACATAGTTAAAGTAATATTCTGCAACACTTTATGAATGAATACATGAGTCCCTCAAATATATTCTAGAGCATGGTGCTCCGGACTATGGAAATTCAGTATCTTATCATTAATTACTGATATTATAAAAGCCTTATGTGGGGGCTGGAGAGATGATTCAGTGGTTAAGAGCACACATTACTCATGCAGTACACCTAAGTTCAGTTACCAGGACCCATGTCAAAAGGCTCATAATCACCTATAACTCCATCTCCAGAAGAAGATGCCCTCTTCCCATATCCAAGAGCTCCTGCACTTTGCATGGGCTCAAACTTGTACACAGACACACATATTCACATAATTAAAAATAAAATAAATATTTAAAAGCTGTATTTGCTGTTTTAATTATATAAATCCATTATTATAAATATAATCATTAAATATTAATTTTTTTCTTTTAACAAGTAAAACAAGAAAAGCACTTGTAGTTAGGCTAGGACAATAGTGCCAGGAATTCAGCCATGAATAGCAGCAACCCATGTCCTTTCTTCCACTCAGTACCACACCTAGCTGGCTGCTACTACCAAGCAGAAATAAGCCAGTCAGCACCACCTTTATGGTGCACAGTGGCCTGGACTATGGTTCCAACTAATGCCAAAGAGCTCAAGTTTAAACCTCACCATATTTAATTTAATTTAGAATCTGTTTTTTAGTACTGAAAACAGAAAAGGTAAAGGAGCAAGCTTTATTATGGCATGTGATCTTCCCCATAATCTGTAGGTTTTAACCCTGAATATTACTTTGAAGAAACAGAGAAGGTGCTAAGACTGTACACTGTGAGACTTCCAGAGCTATCAAGCATCTATCTACCATGAATGCCTGGCATACTATAAGAGAAAGAAAACAGGCTTTTCTTTTTTATTTTATTTCTTTATGTGTATGTTTCTGTCTGCATGTGTGTCTGTGAACTACTTGTGTGTGTGCCCATGAAGACAGAAAAGAGCAACAGATCTCCTGGAACTGAAGTTTCAGACAGTCGTGAGCTGTCCTGGGGGTTCTGGGAATTGAAATCACGTCCTCTGGAAGAATATCCAATGCTCTTAACCACTGAGCCATCTCTCTAGTATCCTGAAAACATGTCTTTCTATTCTTAACCAGCAAGGATCTCTGTGTTATATGAGCCTTCTTACCATAATGTGATGAAAAAAGAGTACTCACCAGCATGTCTTCCTAATGCTTGCTAAATCCAATCATGTTAATAAATGCAGAGTAATTTTTATAATACAGGTTGCCTTGTGTCACTTTTACACACATTTAAGTCATTGCCATTAGAAATGTTTTGTTTTTCAAAATCACATTTTAAAAAATAAGTCATTTTTTCTGACAACAGTTTCTTTCCCCCAAGTCATGGTAACTAAGACATTCAGGATGGTTTTGCTTTTTTTTTTTTTTTTTAATTTTTTTTTAATTTATTTTAATTTATTTTGCAATACAATTCAGTTCTACATATCGGTCACGGATTCCCTTGTTCTCCCCCCTCCCGTCCCCCTCACCTTCCCCCCAACGCCCCCCCCCATTCCCATCTCCTCCAGGGCAAAGCCTTCCCCACAGACTGAGGTCAACCTGGTAGACTCAGTCCAGGTAGGTCCAGTCCCCTCCTCCCAGGTCAAGCCAAACAATCCTGCATAGGCCCCTCCAGGAAGAGAATTTACAGATTTATGTTACCAGAGCTTGATGAGAACAGGCCTGGGGTTCCTTGACTCTATTTCTCCAGAGTTCTCTTGGCTGACTTCTCCATGTGTTGGCTCCTTTCCAACACTGGTTTTCCTCATGGTATCCTTTGCAACCTGTATACCCAGCCATTTAGAAAAAATGCCTCTGGACAAGAAGCTCAAAATGAATTCTGAGAGTCACTGGGATTAGACTGCCTTGGGATATATTTTTATTTCTTTATCAAGCTCTCTCTCCAAAGAATAAAACAGATAGTGAGTTAAGCTTCCCTCCCACCCCCCAAAAAAGAATAAAAAGAGACATTTGATATCCTTGGGGCAGGGGAGGTGCCCTTGAACCAGTCCTCAGGGATACAGCCATTATGAGTATAAGGAAAGGCACAGTGAAACCACCAAATTGGACCACTTCATGGGTGAACAGAAGAAAGGCTTGCATTTACAACAAAAAAGAGGATAGCCAGAGCTGTAGGTGGATGGTTCTCACCTGCCTGCCAGTTCCTAAATAACCACTCAGAGGTTTAATATTAATTATAAATGCTAGGTCAGT